AACCTTGTGGGTGCAGGGAGTGTGGAAGACCTGTGTGTAAGTTCAGCTTTTGTTAGTCATCAGAGACTTTATATAGTAAATAAGCTCTACTAAAAAAAGAAACGTACTAAAAATTCCTTTAATACTCAGGCCCAATTAGTGGTCAGAATCTTCCTTAGAGCCCATGGGTGTTCTAAATGTGGGCAAAACTTCAGTCATTTAAAAACTCTAACCAAAAAAAAAGAATGAGTAAAATATTCCCTTATTTCTTAATTCAATTTTGAAAGAAGAATCAACTGTTACTTCAGGAGGCTTTAACCTGGTGTGTTGACTTACGTTTATAATCCCAACACTTGGGGAAGATAAGGCAGGAGATTTTTCCCTGAATGTGAGGCCAGCTAGGGGTACAAAGAGACTATCTTTTTTTTTTAAAGGCAACCTTTTCATTGTTCACTTGTGACCCAAACTTGACAATTCCTGCTTGACCATGACTTCTACCATCTGTTCTAGGTTTTTGCTGGGCCATTCAATATATGACACTAGGTAAGACATTCAAAATTTCTCTGCTTCATTTTCCCCAGAAGAGAATTGAGACCCATCAGCTCTGTTTTGACAACTTAAAATAGATAAAAAGTCATCTTTGAAATTAAAAAGTAAACAAATGTTCATTGTTTTCCCACCATTACTAATAGCCTAAATATCCTTTTTAGACCCTAAGATATGGGCTGTGGTCATTTTGTGGAACTTTTACAGTTTCCAATGATAAAGTATTGGATGACCACACATCACAGTCAAAGGGAAAGCAGTGGTCAGTAGGAGCTGTATAATATAAGATCACTACTCTTCCCGGGTACTGTAAAGGGTTAAATTCCTCAATCTGAAGTGTATGATGGAAATTTGGAGTAATTCATGAAGCATTAACAGGAAAGCACAGGGTATCTAGGAGGAATAAAGAGAAATTGGTTAGGCATAGTAAGCGCCCTCCTGAGCCCAGCCGAGATCTGCGATCGGCCACCCAACCTTAACCCTTGTCAGCTGAAGCCGGCGGCTGGCCAGGCAAAAGCTTGGGTAACATAAACGTATGACATTCCTTGGGATGTCCACAGTCCCCAGCAGCAGCTTAGCCATCCTCTTGGAGCTGCTGACAGCCGGGAGGCGGGGTGCTTGGTCCCTTTGCGAGCCGACCATAGAGCTGTCAGACCTCCGGCTTCCTAGAGAGCTTCCGGAAGTGGCTGTGGGGCAAGATGCGTGCTGGCCGGTTCTGCGGCTCCGAGGGTTTGGAAAGTTAGCGGCTGGAGGGGTCCCGCCCGGGTTCGGTGTCCGTCGCGTCTCCTCGCGCGCTTCCCGGTCCGCGCTGTGCCGCCTCCCGGCCTCGGGCAGCGTGCGGAGCTCTCGGTGAGTGCGCTCGGCCGGGCAGGGGCGCGCGGGGAGCGGGTCGGCAGAGGGCCTGCGCCGGCCAAGCAGGCCGGCACCCGGCCCCAACTTCCTGCAGGGTCCCTCTTTTCATCGCCAGTGGCCGTGTGTTATTTTGCAGTCGCTTTTACTTGTAAAGCCGGCTCCTGTGTTAGCTGTTTCTACGCAGCAATTTTGCCTTTCGGTCTCAAAAATTTTTTTAAGATACTTCTTTCTTTTCAAGACTCTGCTACATATGGAAACCTTGGATTTGTTTTTATTTTATTTTATTTTTGTTGTTGTTGTTGTTACTCCCTTTTTCGCTCAGAAAATGGTTGATGTGATGGCTGGACAGTTGTGTGCCCAAGAAATACTTTAATTCCAGGGTAACAAAATTAAACTGTTAATCAGAATACTTTGCTTACTTAATTTATTAAAGCTAACTGAAATAGATGCTTGAAAACTCCTTGGGGGGGGGGGGGGGGCGGGGAGAAAGAAAACTCCGTGGGTTCCCATTTCCAAAACTCAAGTCAGTCATGAGTAATCTTTGTCAGACTTCTAAGATGTTGACCACCACTTGACAACATACTTCTTTCTGTTTGACAAATTCACGGAAGTACAGTTATGTGGCAGTCATTATTTTAGCAAATGTGCACGTTTTGAGTTCCTCTTGTGTTAAATATAAGAATGTGATAAATCAAAACCATTAATGAAAGCAACGCCCACACGTGTGTCTGGCCCACTCCTGAGTGCCATTTCTGCCAACCCCCATGCTTAAGCCTGTATTAAAATAACTGTAGAAATCTCCAAAAGAAAAATACTCAGTGAATGCAATTTGAAGTAACTACAAAGCATAGTGTTTGTTTCATTTACTTTTCCTTGATCTCTAAAGCCTGGAGATTGTCTTTCCTAATTTACGCTCAGTACCAAGACATTTCTCAAGTTAAACTTAATCTGAAGGGAAAATACATCTTCTACATCTATTGAAAAGTCAGTTGAGAAGGGAGGAGAGGGGAATCTGTTTTTGGTATGTAAAATGAATAGAAAATCTCTTAATAATAACTTTTAAAAGGGGGAAAAAGGAATTATTGTTTAAGTTGACTTGTGCCTTCCTTAGTTGTTAAGACTTTAACATTTTGGATCCAGAAGAAGGTTAGGACTGTTGCCTTTACATTCATAAGTCAATAAATCTAACTGGATGTTCTTTAAGGATAATATGTAAGGATCAGTGTTTATAGGTGCTCACCAACATTGCAGTTTGTATGCACAAAATTATTAGAGGGGAGAATACCTAGAGGACTAATTTTTTATTTCAGCTCTAGCTTTAATATTAAAGAAAAATAAAAGCTTGTTGGAAAAGGAAGAGATTTTTTTAAAAGATTCATATTAGTCATTAAAAAGAATGAAAAGACCATGTATATTGATGCACACCTGTAATTGCATGCAGTACTCAGGAGACTGAGGTTGGGGAATCACCAGTTTGAAACCAGCCTGGGTTATAAAGTAAGGTATTTGTTTTGTTCTGTTTGGAGAGGGTGAATAAGGTCTGCTCATGCCACAGTGCCCTAGTATTGATCAGAGGACAACTTGCAGGTGTCAGGTCTCTCCCTCAACTATGTGGGTCCTGGGACTCTAAATTCGGGTCGTCAGGCTTGACAGCAGGTGCCTTTAACTTCTGAGCTGTCTTGCAGGCCCCTGTGTCTCTTCAACAGTAGAGCAGTCACACTGAATTAAGGACCCATCTTATTCCAGTTGTAATTTCATGTTAATTTGGTTGTATCTGCCTGCTATTTGCAAATAAGGTTACATTCATAGGTCCTCCCTAGGGCATCTTTTTTGAAGACAGAGTTAGTAGCATCATGGAACATGAGTGAAAGAGATAGCCAAAGTCAAGGAGAGGTCACCGCTGCAGCCTTAGCAAGGGATGTATCTCCACAAGAAAAGAAAACAGTAAAGTACGTATAACACACAAAGAAACGGGGCTCTTCAAGTGAGCTTTTGGACCTGGAGTTCTAGCTGTAACTATCACTCTTACAACAAATCCAGACAATTCGGTGTTGTGTTGTAAATATAGCCCTCTGGTGTTCTTTAATTCTATCAATGAGATAAAATTTTCATGAGGTGTCGGAGCCTGCCGACCAATTGACTGGGTAGCTGGGTAGAGGCGTGCGGATTGAAGAGACAATGAAGAAGACAGAAAAGAGTCGAGAGGACTGCCAGTCAGTGCCAAACAGTACCTGAGTTTATTTCACAGCCAGCTTATATTCAGTCTGGAAGGACAGAGGTAGAACAATGCACAACACAGGCATTCAACCACCATCTCTCCTGTCCTTGAGTCAAGGAGCAGGCAGTTTCATTTTCTATCTCAATGTACCTCCAGCTGGCATCAGCAGCCTGCATCTAGCTAGTGTGTTCCTTCCTGTGGGCTAATCAGGACTTTCTCACAGCCCTGGAGCAAGCAAGCTGAACTCTGTTGACTCAGAATAGGCTTCAGATTCAAACTGGGAAACTGAGTCAGTTGTGGGCTCCCACAATGAGAATTATGAAATTAAGAGAGAAAAACTTTGCAGCCAGTAATGTACAGTTATGAGAAAAGTAGTATGTGTAGATATAGAGAGAAAGGAAAATAGTTTGGTCAATAATGAAAGTAGTCCAAGGAACTTAAATGAAAAGAGATATCAGTATTCATGGACTGGAACATGCTAGTTAAGGTATCATCCCTAATGTGATTATACTATTAAGATAGTATCTCTAAACTGAGCTATAGATTCAATACAAGTTCAGTCCCAGCGTTATTAGAAATCAGTAAGCTTATTCTAATATGTGTTTCAAAAAAGGAGACAGCCAGCAAAGCCAAATCAGTTTCAAAAACAGAAAAGTTGCAGGATTGAAACTACTTGATTTTAACATTTAAAACTCCATCTTCATGCTATATGTAATTTTACTATGTTGAAGTTAAAACCTTCCTTTTGAATAAAAAGAAAAGGGGAAATGAAAAAAAAAAAGAATGTGATCAATATATACTTGGGTCCTAATGACAAATAGTATATGTGGGAAGGGTAATGAGTCTTAATAAAAAGTTAGGATGTTAAGCATAAAAAAAAAAAAATCCATCTTCAGGCAGCTTTGTATCAAGAGAAGGTAGATTTCTAGGTCAAGGTAACAGAATAGAGCCTCCAGAAACAGTATTCATGGTCAGTCAGCTTCCCCCACCCCTCCCCCAGATGAAAAGACAAGCAATTCAGAATATTACCCTTTCTGTGAATGGTGCTAGAGCAGATTGTCATCTTTATGCAAGGAGGGGAACCCCTAGCCATACCCTCACCTCCTCAAAGATTAATTCAGAAACAGACCATAGACTTAACAGTAAAACCTAAAACTACAAACTTTTAGAAGAAAATGTTTGTGATTTGGGACTAAGCAGACATTTCTTAAATATGATATCAATAATATAATTCTTTAAAAATAATTGGTAATTTATGCTTCAAAAAAATTACGGGACTGGAGAGATGGCTCAGCAGTTAAGAGCACTAGCTGTTCTTCCAGAGGTCCTGAGTTCAATTCCCAGCAACCACATGGTGGCTCACAACCATCCGTAATGAGATCTGGCACATCCATCCGTAATGAGATCTGGCGCCCTCTTCTGGCACACAGGCAGAACACTGTATACATAATAAATAAATAAATCTTAAAAAAAAAAAAAAAAAAAAAGCCGGGTGGTGGTGGCCCACTCCTTTAATCCCAGCACTCGGGAGGCAGAGACAGGCAGATCTCTGTGAGTTCGAGGCCAGCCTGGACTACAGAGTGAGATCCAGGAAAGGTGCAAAGCTACACAGAGAAACCCTGTCTTGAAAAAAAAACACAAAAAAAAAAAAAAAAAAATTACAAATATCTTCTTCAAAGGCCACTGCTTAAAAAATAGAAGGGACAGCTGGGCGGTGGTGGCACATGCCTTAATCCCAGCACTCGGGAGCAGAGCCAGGCGGATCTCTGTGAGTTCGAGGCCAGCCTGGCCTACAGAACGAGATCCGGGACAGGCACCAAAACAGCACGGAGAAACCCTGTCTCGGGTGGAAAAAAAATAGAAGGGAGTCAATATTTGTAAATCATGTATCTCTTGTATCCAAAATATATAAAGAGTTCTCAAATCTTAAACATACAAACAATATAAAACCTCAATTACAAAATAATGCTGGGCAAAGCTTAATGACACATGTATGTACTACCCAATACTTGAGAGATGGAGGCAAGAGGATCCCAAGTTAAAGTTATCAGCCTGGGCTACACATTGAGTTCCAGACTATACTGGGCTACATGATAAGACCCTGTCTCAACAGTCTAAACAAATTAAATAAGTGTATAAAGAAAACTGAGCATGGTGGTACATGCCCATAGTCCCAGCACTTGGGAAGCTGAGGTGGGAAAAATCACAAGTTTGATACTCTTTGGTTATAGAATGAGACTGAAAAAAAAAAAGCCAAAATTTTTAAATCAATACTTCACCAAAATATGTGTATGTTCAACATTGTTAGTAAGAAAACAAGTTAAAACCATGACACATTACTACATACCTATTATAATATTTAAAATTTTTAAATACAATGTCAGGCCCTAGTGGAATGCAAAATATTACAGCCATGTTGGAAAGCAGTTCAACAATTTTTTAGATACTACACTTAAGACTCAGCAATTTACTTCTGGGTTTTACCCCACTGAATTAAAAACTGTTCACACAGGAATATGTATGCACATAATCATAGTGTTTTATTCATAATCAGGAACAGGAAACAACTCACGTGGTTATTTGTATAAGATAAACAGACACAGCTGTTGCTGGAGTTTTCCTGCCTGGCCCACAGTCAGGGCAAATCTCTCTCACCCGCCAGTCCCAAGCCACTCAAACCCGATCAAGTAAACACAGAGACTTATATTGGTTACAAACTGTATGGCCGTGGCAGGCTTCTTGCTAACTGTTCTTACAGCTTAAATTAATCCATTTCTATGAATCTATACCTTGCCACGTGGCTTGTGGCTTACCGGTACTTTACATCTTCCTTGTCCTGATGGCGGCTCGCAGTGTCTCCTTTTCTAGCTTCCTGTTTTCTCAATTTTCCTCTGTTAGTCCCGCCTATACTTCCTGCCTGGCCACTGCCAATCAGTGATTTATTCATTGACCAATCAGCAGCACATTTGACATACAGACCATCCCACAGCACACAGCATTGATTAATATCAGGTGTCTTCTGCTAAGTGAAAGTTGTCAAACTCCAACACTACTATGTTTTATTTCTATAACATTCTAGAAGGTCATTGGTGTGTGGGTTGAGATTTGGGCATTGTAGATGTTAAGACATTCAGGTTCTTTGCAGCTCCACTGCTCCAACAGATTTTTAGGAGTAAGAGGTGGAGTCCAAGAGTTAGCCCTGAGACAAAAGGCAAGATGGAGAGCATTAGTAGGATGCTGAATCTTAGGTAGTGGAGAGGAAAGGGTTCAAAGGTTCTTGGAGTAGAGGCTAGAGAAAGTAACCTCCTCTGTTGAGAATAAGAACGGGGTTGGGCGCTGCAGTACAAAACACCGTTGAGTGGGAGGTGTACAAGGTGCTATGAGGAGTTCAGTGAGTGGTCCTGAGAACTGCCTGATACTAAATACAGAAGCTCACTTAGGCCGAATCTCCATCCCCCACAGCCCTAAACAGGAAACCAAAAGGAAGGGTTTGTACCCTGGGTAGGTTTGGTGTGGCACATTGTTTAGGGAAGCTTGTTGAGGTATGCTGGTAAGTTACTATGACTTTTGCCTTACCTTAACATATTTATTATTTTCTGTTTGGGAAGAAGTACCCTGGAGGTCCTCAGAAGACTTAAGAAGATACAGAAGGTAGAGGAAAGGGGACTTTTAAGCTTTTCTGGCCCTAAATGGCTACAGAATCAAGAAAGCCTTCTTCGGCCCCATCTCCACCAGACCGGGCTTCTGAAGAGGACCTTGTCATTGTCAAGATAGAGGAGGATCATGGTTGGGATGAGGAGTCTAGTGTGCATGAAAATAATACTTCTGGCCAAGAATTGTTTCGCCTACGCTTCAGGCAGCTATGCTACCAGGAGACATTAGGACCCCGGGAAGCTCTGATCCAGCTTCGTGCACTTTGCCATCAGTGGCTGCGGCCAGACTTGAACAGCAAGGAGCAGATCCTGGAGCTGCTGGTGCTGGAGCAGTTCCTGACCATCCTGCCTGAGGAGCTGCAGACTCTGGTTAAGGAACACCAGTTAGAAAATGGAGAGGAGGTGGTGAGCCTGTTGGAGGACTTGGAAAGGCAGATTAATATCCTAGGACGACCAGTAAGTAGTTATGCATGCTGTGACTGAATTCCTGGAAGCTGGGTAGAAAGACATTGACTTCACTTTGAGGAATAAATTCTATGCATTGGTTTCTGTTGAATGCAGATGAAAATTATTTAATGCACTATGTATTGCACTTGTAGTTTTGTAAAGGAGAGAACCCATTTTTTATCCTCTTAAAATTCCTACACTTTTATTATTATCCTTGCTTGCTAAATGGGACCATGAGACACAAGGAGCTTAAATTACTTTTCTTCTGGGGTACCCCTGGTACCTGTGGTCAGGGTTTGGGTCAAGTGTTTCCACACTTTTAGCCTCTTATTCAAGAAAGTAAACTAAAGACCACACAAATTGTACAGGGAGCAAGAAAACTTTATTCAATGACAGAACAATAGTACAAAGGAGGAAATACAGTCAAGAGTGACAGGCCACTTTAGTGAGAGTACTTAAGGGCCCCAATTATTTGGGGCTTCTTTTTATGAAGTTTGAGAGGAAAAAGTTTGTTTGCTAGCAGGCATGATGGGGATGGTACTTTGTTTTCTCAAAGGACACAGTTTGCCTTATTGCGCATGTACCCAACATCAGCCTAGGTCTGCTTGGCCCCCTACCTTCCTTACCAGATATAACTGGAGTGTGACTGGGACAAGCTGTCCGGGTTTCATGGTTGTTACGGAGACGGGAAATTTATTCCATTGCTCAGAGTAAGGTATGAATGAGTACAGCTTAATGTGGTTGTGAGTTCTAGACTGCCAACAGGTGCTAGGTGCGTTTGGGAGGGGGAGGGGAGCATGCTTAGCACAAAACAAGTAAAGCCCAGCTTACTAGGCTCTTTTCTGTGTCTGCTTGCCTTGCCTGGATAATTAAAGATGACTGTTTACTAGAATATAGGCTTCCAAGTTCCTTGTCAAAAGAGTATTTTGGTATTCTATGGCCCTGTTTTAGTTTTCTGTTACTCGTTCTCTGTCCTAGAGTTGGAGCACAAATATTGGTGTTTGATGCAGTAGAAAAACATCAACAGAATCTTTTCTTTAGTACTGAGCGGAACAAATCCCTTCTTTTTGTTCTAATGTAGTGTTTCTTGTTGCCCTAGGAAGGAAATGAGATTATACGGCTTGCTTTCCCAAATCTGAACACCCATCGAAGGCCTGTTGGCTCTGCTGCTGCCATCACTTCATTTCTCAAAGGAATTCTTTGTAACTCACTGTCCCCTTGTTTCTAGGTTTCAGCTCATACACATGGGCACAGGGTACTCTGGGAGGAAGTTGTATCTTCAGAATCTGCACCAGAACCTCCAAGTACTCAGCTCCAAGCCATGGCAACCAAGCATAAATCTTCAGTGCCCCAGAAGCCACAGGACAGAGGAGAGAGGCCTGATTTCACTTATAAGGGTGAGGAATATAGAAAGGAAAGGGACTTATATTTGGGGTACCTGTCTCATTCAAGAACTAGCATCAGTGTTTGAGTAGTACCCGATCTTCTGGTTTTGAATGTTTATAGAAGTAGTGTGTGAACTTTTCCTGTGGGGATAAACATCTATGCACCCCAGGTGGGGCAGGAACAACACACCAGTGAAACAGTTTTATTGAAGACTAACCAATGAGTTTAGTTAGGGGGAGGATAGAGGATTCTTATAGGAACATGAGTAACTTAGCAGCAGCCACACCACTAAAGAAATCTCGTAGCACCACTTAATTGCCTGCATGGGGATGGGGAGGCTCTTGTGATCCTTACCTACTCTGTGGCAAAAATTAATGGGTCCAAGCTTGCAGATTGTACGCATGCAGTCAGAGCGACTGAGAGTTCAGGAGGGCAATGGCCATGCCATGCCCAGAGGACAATAGACCATCAGTTCTAGTGGTAAACTTTCAAACAAAGGATTTTGTTACCCCAGGACATTTACAGCAGACATTTTTTTATCATAACATTTTATTTACAAGTACTTCAATATGGCTTTCTTCTAATGAGAGCATTTTTGATAACCACAATCAGATGACATAGTTAGGAATTGTGGTGCTGGTGTTGTCTCAGTGTTTTGTCTGGTCCAGAGCCCACCCACCCTATGACCATAGTGCATTTAGTCGTAAGTCTCTTCAGTCCTTTAATTTGGCATTTTTGGCATTATTTCTTAGTCTTTCTTTTCTTGACCATAACAGTTTTAAAGAACATAGATTAGAATTAGAATGATTGCAGATTAGGTTTATTTGGTATTTTTTCATATTTAGGTTCAAGTTGTGTGTGTTTGGCAAGAACACTTCAGAAATTTGACCTATTGTGATGTTATCTTTGAAGACTTAAGATTAATCTTCCTAAGCTGATCACTGTAAAGTTACTCTTCTTCACTTTATAATTAAGGAGTAATTTAGGAGGAAGTTCCCATGAAGGTGTGTAAATATCTTAATCCTTATCATACTTGTTGCTAAAACAGGAGTTTTAATAATTATTGATGTTTCTTTTTAACTTTATTTCATTGATGCTTCTCAACTAAGTCAGTGATTATTACTAAACCAGTTACAAACGGTAATTTCTCGGTCATTCCTTCTACATTGTTCCATTGTTAATCTTAAAAAAAAACATTTACTTCCTTCCCTTTTAGTTTACCCCCGGGTACTCATGTGGAGACTAGAAGTCCTGTTGGGTGTCTTCTATTTTCTCCCTACCTTACTTATTATTATTATTAGTGTGTGTACCCAGGCATGCACCTGGAGGTCAGAGAACAATTTTAATCTTCAAGAGTTGCTTCTGTCCATCCACCATGGGTTCCAGGATTGAACTTGAGCCATCAGGCTTATATGGAAAGCACTTTTATTCCCCCCCCCCCCCCCCCCCGCCCCAAGCTCTCTCTAGCCCCTCTACCTTATTTTTTGAGCGGAGTCTTTCCCTAAACATGTCATCTACCATCTCAGCTAGACTACCTGACCTGCAGGCCCTAGGAATCTGCCTGTCTCTCTTCTCTTCCAACCCTAACACTGGGACTCCAGACTTAGGGCTTTTCTGTGAGTGATGGGATTCTGAACTTCTGTCCTCTTACTTCTCTAGCAAGCACTTTACCACTGAGCCATCCTTCCAGCCCCAAGTGTGTGTGTGTGTGTGTGTGTGTGTGTGTGTGTGTGTGTAGGTTTGAGTGGGTTTGGGTGGGTGTGTCTGTTGTTTTGCGCAGTGCTAAGAACTAACTCGGCCTTATTCATCCAAGGCAGGCACTCTTCTAATTGAGCTATGTCCTCAACTCCTCCATTTTATTGCCATTATTTACCCACGGACATATAAAGTCTTTGTTCCAGAAACATTGTGTTAACTGTGTTTAAATCATATTTGGCCAGATGAAGCCCCTTAAATCTGGTTTTCTTTGTTTGTTTGGTTAGTTTATTTGTTTTGTTTTGTTTTTTTGTTTATTTGTTTGGTTGGTTGGTTTTGTTGTTGTTGTTGTTTTAGGGGTTTTTTTTCCTATTACTTTTTGAGAATTGTCTTATTTTATACAGAACAGCCTATTCTAGGCTATTTGCCTTTGTTGGTTTTTTTTTGTTTTATTTTCCTATTTATGGAATTTATATAGTCTTGCCTGGCCTAGAACTCACAATGTAGGTCAGCCTGGCCTCAAACTTGTGATGGTCCTCCTGCCTATACCATAAGTGCTGTGCCTCTAGGCATTTGCCACCCCACCAACATATAAGTGAATTTTTAATATTCCTACACTTGATCTTAGTCAAAAGGCTAAGAATTTTTAATGTTTCTAAAGAAATAGCATAGAAACACTTTATTTAGGTAATTATATAATTCTTGTCTGAAGTCCTAAATCCTGTTGCCCAAGACATATGTTGCTTAACTATGAGGTTGATTTTGGTGATAAGATGCTCACTATCCATGAAAGCAGACACCAGCAGCCATGGCAGATATCAGAAGGGTAACAGATTGGTTGGTTCTCATATTCAGTTTTCTAGGACTTCGGGATCTAGGAGAATGCTACACAGAGATAGTACTTTTGGTAGAGAAGAAATTGGAAAGCAGCTCCTGTTAGCAAATCAGTATGCTTTGTTTATTTGACTGTGTAAGTTCAAGTACATTAAAGTACAGATGCTCTCTGGGCATCCATGGACATCCAGAGTCCAAGATGTCAGCACTTTATGTGCAAAATCCTTGGCATATATATATATATATATGCTGAAATAAAAGTCATTTTGGATAAGTGAATGCTGGCTCCCACAACCGTACAATAAGACTAGTCAATTCATAGCTCCTTTCTCCTCAGCCATGTCTGCTTCTCAGAGTCCTACTCCTTCCCAGAAAGGAAGTTCTGGAGATCAGGAGGTGACAGCTAGACTTCTCACTGCAGGGTTCCAGGTGAGTTGTGCTCCTTCTCACTAAAAGCCCATATCTCTGACAATATTGTGGCAAATGCCCATATCTGTCTATAGTGGTGCCTGTTTAAGAACTTTCCCTGAATCCTTCTTACTTAGTAACAAACCATTCTTTGATTTCCCCCAATAAATCTAGTGCACTTCCCTCTTGCTCCCAGCTATTCACATTCCTGCTTCTTCACCTCTCCTAACACTGTAGTTACCTCGAACAATGGTTTTGAGCTATGGAACCTTTCTAGGCCCCAAATGAGGGTCTTCTTTTGTTTCAGACTTTGGAAAAGATTGAAGACATGGCTGTGTCTCTTATTCGAGAGGAGTGGCTTCTTGATCCATCACAGAAGGATCTGAATAGAGATAACAGGCCCGAGAAATACAGAAACATGTTCTCCCTGGGTAAGGAGAGCTGTAGTTTTTATAAGTTAAGAATTTTCTCCTTGTTTGTTTCTGGTAGCATTATAAGGTTTCTGGAGGACTTAGTTGAACTCAGGATTCAGGGCTGTAAAGATGGCTCAGTGGTTAAGAGTGCTTCCTGCTCTTCCGGAGGACTGGAGTTCTTTTCTCAGCATCCACATCAGGTACCTGAGAACCACCAGTAGCTCCAACTCGAGGGGTTATGATGCCTTCTTCTGGCCTCTGCAGACACTATATACATGTGACAAACATAGATATAAATTTACTTTAAAATTGTTTCAATCTTAAAGAAAAGAAACTCAGAATTCAAGGAATGGATATTAGATTGAGATTTCTGAGGTCTGAAATGAAGCATTTTGTTCTCCAACCCAGAATTCCTTCCAGTTTGTATCTGTATAGTGAAGACTATTCTTTCTGCCAGTTAGAAATTGACATCTTTGTAGTACTTCCTGCGTTGACACCTTTCTTCCAGTCTCCTTGGACCACTGTATTGGAGTGTTTCTGTTGTATGAGCCAGTTGTAATCCCGCTCCTTTCAGAACTGTTTGGTGCATTCTGTCCTACTCAGTAGATCTTGTAGGAGTTCTTTATCTCTTCCTGCTCCCCAACTTCACACTTCTCAATCAATCCTTTTCCAGCTTTACTCACCTATCAGGAAACCCTTTTTTCCTGGCATCTCTTTCCCAGTTGGCATTTGGTACTTCTGCTTGATCAACCTGCATATATCTCTCCCTATTTGGGATAGAGAAGCTTGTATTTGCTTGTAGCTTCCATGAGAACTTCATTTCCCTCTTTCTTCTAGTATGGAAAATAGAAAGTGACTTTGAGAATGATTGTTTACTACATGTTTATTTCAGATGGTGAGACCAGGAGTGAGAACAAGGAATTATTTTCAAAACAGGTAATATCGACTGGAATCCAGCCACATGGACAGACAGCTGCCAGCTGCAATGGGGATGTTATCCTGGGTCTTGCGCATGGAAAAACCCAAGACCTTCTGGGCAGATTAGAGAGGCAGCAGGGAAATCCCACACAAGAGAGACGGCACAAATGTGATGAATGTGGGAAAAGCTTTGCTCAGAACTCAGGCCTTGTTCGACACTGGAGAATCCACACGGGAGAGAAACCCTACCAGTGTAATGTGTGTAGTAAAGCCTTCAGTTACAGGTCAGCCCTTCTTTCCCATCAAGATATCCACAACAAAGTGAAGCGCTACCACTGCAAGGAATGTGGGAAGGCCTTCAGTCAGAACACAGGCCTGATCCTGCACCAGAGAATCCACACTGGGGAGAAGCCATATCAGTGTACTCAGTGCGGTAAGGCCTTTAGTCAGAGTGCAGGCCTTATTTTGCACCAGAGAATCCACAGTGGAGAGAGACCGTATGAATGTAATGAATGTGGAAAAGCTTTCAGTCATAGTTCACACCTCATTGGACACCAGAGAATTCACACTGGGGAGAAACCCTATGAGTGTGATGAGTGTGGGAAAACCTTCAGACGCAGCTCTCATCTTATTGGCCATCAAAGAAGCCACACTGGGGAGAAACCCTACAAATGCAGTGAGTGTGGGAGGGCCTTCAGTCAGAAATCAGGCCTTATTGAACATCAGAGAATCCATACTGGAGAAAGACCCTATAAGTGTAAAGAATGTGGGAAAGCTTTCAATGGGAACACTGGTCTCATTCAGCATCTGAGAATACATACAGGGGAGAAGCCCTATCAATGCAATGAGTGTGGGAAAGCCTTTATTCAGAGATCAAGCCTCATTCGACATCAAAGAATCCACACTGGAGAAAAGCCTGAAACCACCGGAGTGTAGGGCAAGCTCTGGTTGTCATTGGAGCATTATTGAGCATTAGAGGAACCATGTAGTAGTGGAAGAGTCTAGTGAAAAAGGCAGACTCTGTAGTGGTGACAAAGTTAGGAATAGCACTTCAGTTGTTTGAGCCCAATCCCTGATACAAACTGATTAGCTTGACTGTGTTTGGAGGAATCCGGTGAAGCAGAGAGCCCTAGCAGCTTATATGTTCTTCAGAACTTGAAAATAACAGCAAATTGCTTATTGGGACATAAAACACTATATTTTGTCTTTCCCAAGTGTAGCTGTAAGTTTGAGAGGGGCCACTCCTAAGCTGCTCTTCTCCCGGTTTCCTGTGGTCCCATTCTGTCATCCCTCTGAAGGTGCCCTTGTAAATCCTAATCTAAGAAGCTGCTTGACTCCAAGGCAACCTCAATGAGGCTATGATTTGTATTTAGCTTTCTAATACCCTAGTTAGAGGGAAATTGTTAGACACTTAACATATTATTCTAATACTCTTAGGTGGTAGAAATCCATATTCCTCTACAAACTCAATGCTATATTTTTAACAGCACTGTAGCATTTTTCTTCATTTAGCACCTTTATTGACTCCTTTGAGTCCCTGAGCTCATATCCTTCATATCCTTTACCACCCCCAGTCTCAGTACATGTGTCAGCAAAGGAAGTGGATGCATTAGTGATGATGCTGGGAGTGATGCAAAGAAAGGTGAGTGGAGACTCGGCCTGGCTATTGAGCATGGACAGTTGAACCTCAAGGTGACTCTCCTGATTCTCCTTTACCTTACCACTGTACACTGTGGTTTGAAAAAATATTTGCACTATCAAAGCTTTGGCACCACATAGGAGACAGAGGTGCTAGAAAAAGACATTAAAAATCCTTTCAAAGAATGTACATCATCCCTTTGGCCCATTACAATACTGCTCTCAGGTTCCTATCTATATAAACTCCCTGAGTACATGGTCAGCCTGGACTGACCTTCTCAGATGGCCTCTGCAGCTCCATCATCTTCCATCTGTTTCCTTCCATTTGCATATCTTCAGTATCCATAGTGGTAATATATCAAATACCTCACCTCTGGTTCCTCATTCTGAATTCTGGTGCATTCCATCAGTCATCTAACAACAAAGAGAGACTATTATACTCATTGTCACCAGGCCCTATATTTCACCTCTAAGGCTTTCAGCATAACAGGATAGTGTATAAAATAATGAAACTTGTTTTAAAATAACAAACCAGATCTTGTGCATCTAAAATTTAGTGTCCTTTCAGATAAGTAATTATACTTACTACTTATTCTAGTAGTGCTACTAGTCCTCCAATATTGGGAATATTCTTAGAATTTTCATTTAATGAAGAGCAAGAAAACCATGTGTTACTAATAATTATATTTCGTGTTTGACCATTTGATTAGACATTGGGCTTGGAGTTGAATAACGTTTGCTTTGCAACATTAATCCTCACACTTAAAATTATTCCATTAATCTTACTCAGAAGAACATAAGTAGGCTCTGATGAAATATCCAAGAAAACAATTTCACACTGACTACCATGAAAAGATTCATCTTAGCTTCTTTGGTTAACTCTCTCAGACCAGTCCTTTTCATGATTCTTTATTCTCTTGTCCTTTCTGTTTGCTTCCTTCCTGTTTAGTATAGATTGCCATCCCTAACTCTACTCTAACACACTAAACCACTGAGCCATCTCTCCAGCTCCAATTGGCTTGAGTTGTGCCTTCCGCTGTCTAGATGACAGGATTTCTGTATAGGTCAGTGCTACCTTGTGTGCAAGAGTTGCATAAGATACATACATTGTCAGAGAAGCTAGGTGTCTGCATGTGTGCATATATGCATGCCCACTCCTCGTACACTTTTGTGGAGCACCTGATTTCATCTCCAATAAATTGCTCTTTTAGCATTTGTATCTAGAGTAATGTGTACCAGATTACTCTTCAGTCTCAGAACTACTAAGCATGTGGAAGCAGTCCAAAGAAAAGAAAGTAATATAATTGGGAAGATTAATGTTACACTGGGGTGAATATGAAAAAAGGTTGTCATTTAAAAATGAATTATTGGAGCCATTATTGGTGATGCATACCTTTAATCATAGCACTCATGGGCCAGCCTAGTCTGTATAGAAAGTTCAAAGCCAGCCTTGAATATAGTGAGATCAGTCTCAAAAACCCAAAAAGGTAACTGGGGCTGGAAAAATGGCTGAGAGGTTAAGAGTATGGACTGTTCTTGCAGAGAACCATTGAGTTCAGTTCCCGTGTTGGGTGGCTTCCAACTTCCTATAACTCTAGCGCCAGGAGGATCCAACATGTCTGGCCTCCACAGGCACCCACACACAGGTACACATGGACATACACACAACCACATAATTACAAATAATAAAAAAATTTCAAATGAGTTATCAAAGCTGATTTAGCACTTGTATAGAAGAGGTCAAGTGTTATAGCATATTATAATAGAGAAGGCTGTGGAGTCTGAAGAAGTACATAGAAGTCATTTTTAGTCTTGAATTCATCAAGCATTAATCTGTGTTACACCATTTAGAGCTCTTAGCTATCAGTGGCATTCATTAAGCTTTTGTCCTATAGAATCAATTTTTTTTTCTTTCAATCTGAAATGAAGTGTTCACCAGTACTTTTTTCTACCATCCTCAGCTGCTCATCTTAGGATCTGGCATGGTAAAGTGGTTCTTCCATGAATCACTTGTCATCAATATACCACTGGGAGAAACCTCTGAGGTTTCAAAGAATTTCTCCATGAGACCAGATAGGTATTCAAGAATGTGGTGATTGATTCCAGTGTGGACCACTGTAGCTTTGCTCTTGTTTCTACATCTCCAGAATGATAGCCGACCTTTTTTTTTTTTTTTTTTTTAGCAGTTGTTGTGAGCCAAACCCTAAGTTAAACATTTATCCTACTTAAAAGCTCGTATCACTACATGCCCCATTTATAGATGATAAAAACAGAAGCTTAGAGAACTAATCAACATCACAGCCAGCAAATGACAAGATTCTAACCCACACATACAGCCTGGTGCTGGAGCCTGTGATGACTACTGTGCTGTACTACCAATATTGACTAAACTCTGGCCTGCCAAGTTAAACCATGTACCAGTCGTGAGAGATACTAGGTAAAATAGCATACGATAGTATAGTGTGGATCCATTGCAATTACTGGAAAATTGGTTTAAAATACTGTTTGGGGTGAGAACATCTTTAGACATTGATGTTCTTGATTTTAGTACAAGAAAGGTAAATTTTGTCAATAAAATATGCTTAAAGGAGTAACTAGGAGGGTAAAGCAGTATCACCTTACTGATTCAAATACATTTCTCTGTAGACTGCCTAAGGGAAAGAGAAGTGAGTAGATTCCAGGTTGGGCAGATGGGCAGTTAGGGTGGCAGTAGGAAGTTCATCCACAGTCTGCAGTGAGAAACCCTTCAAGCTTATTGCCCATTACCAATCACCATTCTGTGTGTCCTGTGTTTTTCTTGATTTTTCAATTGTTATTCATTTAACCCATTTCTGCCTTAGCTCTTAAAACATTTCCTTACTTGCTGTCTTAGTCAACATTCCACTAAAATGTATGTAGAATGTCCAGTATATAAATTAAGGCTTTTTATTTTTGTCCTTCTTAATCTCTTTTATATGTCATAATGTTGGATTTTCCCATATGTGGTGGCTGTTCTTGGCTGTCATTTTGAGTATTACTGGATTCTTTGGTCTTTCATTGGTAGACAGCCATTGTTGGACTAGCTAGACCACAGCAGGTAAGCCATTCTAATAAATCCTATATATATATATGATATATATATATATATCATATATATTCATTCTATAAGTTCTATTCTTCTAGAGAACCCTGACTAATACAGATTTTTGTACCAGAAGTAGTTCTAGAGCAATAAAAGAGTAAGGATGAAATTTTTTAAGTATCTGGAATAGGATTTCCAATTTACCAGCATCTACTGAAGCCTCTCAGAAACTCAGGGTGTATTGAAAGCCCATGGTGAACTATTTTACAAACTTAAGGAGACAAATGCATTTGGTTATCCTGATTGACCAGTTGTGGGAGGCAAGAGGTTTGGTGACTGTATATAAAACTTTTGACAATTTGTAGAAAAATGAGAAAAAGGATGATGGTGGTTGGTTGTTCCCAGCATCTCTACATAAATTGACAAAGGAAAAGAATGTACTCGATAAAATTAACCAACTTGTAGCATCTCAGAATACAGTGAAGAACAACAATGTACTCATGGATAAAATTGGCCAACTCTAGATGTACATAAACAGTCTAAAGGGTTCTAAGTAAGTGCGCCCTAGAAGAGAATCTTCTGTTCAGCAGCTACAGCTGAAATTGTAGAAAATCAAACTGAAGCCCTCATTGTAAGGTTGGCTGCATTAAAAAAAAAAAAAAAAATTCAAGTCTCAACCTCAGAGGGTATCAGTGGTTCAAGGAAGAGCATTAAATTGGTAAAGAATCAAATCCTGTAACTTGCAATGGAGATGTGTGGGAGGACCCTGTTGATTCAACCCTCAGATTCTCGAGGGTTTATCTCACCTGAGAGAATAGTCTCTCTGCCCTCAGCAGAAGATGTACTCTCGCCCCTTAAATATTGCCTTTTCTGCTTTGAGGAAATAACAGAATGGATAGTAGAGGAAGGTAGTTATAAATACCAGCTATGGTTGTGTAACCAGTTGTAGAAATGAGAATTATAATTGACATAACTTTCTGTCATATTTTGTTAAGAATGTGTTTGTACAGATATTTGTGTTTCTTTCCTCAATTTCTTTATCATGTAACATCAATTAAGAGAATATCTGCGGTTACCATATTTAAGTTTTGAGATACCAAAAGAATGTCCTTCAAGGGACATTGCCATATATTCTGAAATTTATTATGGGTTTGCACTTGTACAAGGGACAGTTATATCATGTGAGATGTAATTATGACCTGGTTAAATATATAATGCATTTGCAGTTGTACATGAGATAGTCATATGTTAGGTGGAATTATGACCTATTATTTTCACTTGGAAATTAAGCATGACATAAGGAGATATGATTGTGTGTCAAGTTGACAATGGGTGGGTTTGTGATGGCTATTCTCAGATGTCAACTTGACTACATCTGGAATTAGACTGCTAGGTACCCCTGTGAGGGATTTGTTTTTAAATCATTTCAAGTGGAAAGACCCACTTTAATCTGGATCTTTTGAGGTGGGAAGATCCATCCATCTTTAATCTGGGCCACACCTTCTGATGGCAGCCTATATAAGGATATGAAAGAAGGAAGCTTTTGCTCTTGCTGGCAAGTCCATTCCTTCACTGGAATTAGAGCCTACTTCTTCAGGATTCTGTCTGGCCTATAATGAAGACCAGCTGAAACATCCAGCCTGGTGGAATAGACAGCTGGTGGATTCTTGGACTTCCCATTGGTAGACAGCCATTGCTGGACTAACTGGACCACAGCCTGTAAGCCACTCTAATAAATTCCCATTCTCTACATATACAGAGATTCATTCTATAAGCTCTGTTCTCTAGAGAACCTTGACTAATACACCATACTTCAAGAATTCTCCTTTCTTTGTCTTATGGGATCTTTTTAGGTCAGTTTTCTTCAATATCTGGCTTTTCTTTATTAGTCGTTTTTCTGCCCGATACTAAAAATAATCCCCATGTCCTACTTTACTCACTTTTTGTGTCTCTTTTCCTGTTTTTCTGTTTTGGTACTTCATGTATTTGAGTGACTTCATATTTCCCACTTTGTATGTCATCTCCCTGCTTGGGGAATTTTCCTCAGGTACCTACACAACCTGATATTTGAAACCAAAATTCACCATTTTTCTCCTTCCGTTTGTTAAAATAGACATCATTGCGTAGCTGCTGGACCCTAAATAGAATCACTGCCCTTTGTGTTTCTCATCCCAGCCTTAAAGTGACCATTTCATCTTTTTCTGTCCTCACTCTCCAAGTCTAGAATCTTGTTGATCTCGATTGTATTCTTCTTGAGACTTGTTTTTGTTGTTGCTTAGTTTTTTGTTTTGTTTTTGTTTTTTTATATTTCTGACATACCCTTATAGTCTTCCACACACATCCACATTATGTAGGCTCAGGTTACTGGAATTCCTTTCAGAATATCTAACTTATATAACACTTTTGAGATGATCCTCATTTTTACTGATCTCCCAGCAGATAATTCCACCAGAATGGTAGTGATACATGACTTTCTCTCCATTCTTAGTCAGCCTCAGCTTTCCTCACTCCCTACCATGTTCGCCTTGACACATCACACTCAAACCTCCTACAGCTTTCTACTGTTGTCTTACAAGCCTTTGCCTCTGTGCCTTTCTCATGTTTTTCTTTTTCTTCCTTAGATTACTCTTTGGCCATAACTCCTGTTCACTCTTCAAAACTTGCTGCTTTTGTGTCTTTTGAGTGAGCACCTCCTGATTGAGTTCACCTCACATCAAGATCTTCCTGTATTCTGTGTTGCGGGAGCAGTTAACTTTCAGGCTTGTACTGTGATCCATGCTCTTACTAATACCTTGCTCTGTAATTATTTTCTAGAAGTCTGTATAGTAGTTTCACATTTGTATTTATTTCCAAAATTAAATTGTAAGCTCCTTGAGGGCAGGGAAAACTGTAACATTTGTATCACAGAACCCTCTTAGTGCCTAGTACAGTGCTGAGCACACAGTAGGTGTTTAATAAATGCTTGTTGAATTATTGTGTGGATTTTTTGTGGTATTGAAACCTTTCAGGCTTTTCAGTGACAAGTACTATTTAGTACACTCAAAAAGTACAAAACTGGTTGGGCGGTGGTGGTGTACACCCTTAATTCCAGCACTCAGAAGGTAGAGGCAGGCCAATCTCAAGAGTTGGAGGCCAGCTAGGTCTACAGAGTGAGTT